AGCCGCAGGAAGGCCACGGAGAGACCAAGTTGGATGCAGAGGAAGCCATCGAGGTCGATCATTCTCACGATTTGGACATCTTTTAGTACGTTTTGAGGATTAAGCCTTTCTAGAATAACCTTGTAATAAGCCATTTCTACTGAGATTGCTTCGTTTTACTTTGCACTGATAAACCTAAAAATCTGGACAGAAAGAACTGTTTTCTTGCTGAAAATAATGTTGAATTTGTGGGAAGATGAATGTTATTGATAGACCCATTTCTCATGTCTGACAAAATATTTAAAAGTATATAGCAGAGATTTAATTTCTCAATCTGTTGCATGTGTTAGTTATTACTAGTTGATAATTACTTTTGTCCAGGTCATTGTAACATGCCATTCAAAAAGTTGTTTTCTTTTTTTGATTTATCTTTGTAGCGAATTATGACTGGTTTCAAAACATTCCGTAAAAAGATCTTAATAAGGCACATAAATTGTTAAACTGTTACAAATGCATTCAAATTTAGTTTTTCTGTGTTCTGAGAACTTTCAAGCAATTTTAAGGACAGAGACAAAATAGGTTTACACTCATCAGTATAAACTTATTTGTCAGGAAGTAAATTAACATCAGAAGCTTTTCAAAGAAGTCTTCATTCTTAACTTTTTTTTGACTTCCTTTAAATTGACTCGATCTTACACTGAATACTGAATGTGATCCATACCTGTGTAATTACCATGTACATTTAAAAAATTCCCGGTGGTTGCCTGCCTAAGACTGCTTTACCTTATGTTAAGGAAATTGGGTATTAAAAATGTTACATCTGCCTGAAGTGTCAAATTACTCATTCTTATTGAAGGAAATAAAAGTAGTTAAGGTGTTCCAAGGGTTGACTTTAGTCTACAAAATAGATTAGGCAAAAATATGTAAGAAGCAATTGTAAACTCTTCTTTACAGATAGTTCTTGAAGTTTTTCTTTAGTTCCTGGAATACATAGTCATTGAAGTTGGATCTAAGGATACAAGTGGGAAAAGAAGAAGAAAATGGTTATTGGTTGCTTTTTATTCATGACGAACACAAAAATAAAACTAGATTTTGTGCAGTGACGTTTTTTTTTTTTTTTTAAGATTTATTTATTTATGTAGTGTCTATACCCAGCATGGGGCTCAAACTCGGCGTTGTGAGTTCAAGAGACTCAGGCACCTCTCAGCCAGGTGCCCCTCAAGTGACTGTTTTTGAAACCTCAGACATGCTTTCATAAAATTGCTATAACCAAGGGAGGAAAACTATTTTAAATACGTAACTGAATATTGTTTCTGAGATTCTTTATGAGAGGTGATCTTAAAGGTATGTTACGTTGGGATAGGGCACCTGAGTGGCTCAGTCATTTGAGCGTCGGACTCCATTTCGGCTCAGGGCGTGATCTCCTGGTTCGGGAATTCAAGCCCTGCATCGGGCTCTGTGCTGACAGTGCGGAGCCTTCTTGGGGTTCCCTGTCTCCCTCTCTCTCTGCCCCTTCACCCCTGCCTCAAAAATAAATAAATAAACATTAAAAATAATAAGAAACGTGTCATACTTTGGGAAAAATAACATCCAGTTAAGTGCTAGTTTATATGCCACACGTTCATGTAAATACTGCTAATATTTCTAGTTACACTTGTTGAAGAGCATTAGCATTACAGTGTAGTTCATCTTCAGTAAATGGACCATCCTGGTTCATTTTCGCCAACAGTTGTTACCTTACTATCTGGAAACTGTAACGTTAAACCCTAACGTTAAATGCAAACCAACAGTTGAGGTCTTTAGTTTTTTAGGAATCCATTCCATATTATTATTTCATCTTGGATTCTTACCCTGTACTTCTGCCACAAGGTACTGAAGGTTCGAAAAAAACGAACAAACCTGTCAAAATGATTCTGCAAAATCTTTCCTTTTTAAAAAATATTTTGGGGAGAGCACAAGTGGGTAAGGGGGCAGAGAGAGGGGGACGGGATCAGAAGCAGGCTCTGCACTGACAGGGTGACAACAGTGAGCCTGATGCGGGGCTCGAACTCACCAACAGTGAGATCATGACCTGAGTTGAAGTCGGACGCTCAACCGACTGAGCCACTCAGGTGCCCCACTGCAAAATCTTTCTGAAATGACCCAGAGAAGGATATCAATTGGTGTTCACCGGTACCTCTGTATAGAAACTGTGACTTCCTGGAATTCTACAAATACCCATTGCAGCCATACGCTGAGGGAATTGATGCCAAATGTTCAGCAGGACTTTTGACGTGTCCCAGATCGGTTTATTCATTAGTGTGAAAGAACTGCCTTAACCTCACAAAAGAGATGCAATTCAGGTTCAGTATCATGGGTGGCAAGTTCAAGTTAGGGAACAAAGGTACCACATGGAGCCCTGTGAACTCCACCGAAAGCAGCCTCTGGAAAAAGGAGCCCCAAGATGGGGATACTGCTGTTGGCTGATGGCTCTAACAGCCCCATAAGCCTTTTCATGTCCAGGTCACCCCAGGACTGAGTACATGTATGAAAAAGACTCTTACTGTGATCCTTCCTCTTTAAAATAGCATCTTGGGAGGCGCCTGGGTGGCTCAGTCGGTTGAGCGTCCAACTTCGGCTCAGGTCATGATCTCATCGTCCGTGAGTTCAAGCCCCACGTCGGGATCTGTGCTGACAGCTCAGAGCCTGGAGCCTGCTTCGGATTCTGTGTCTCCCTCTCTCTCTAACCCTCCCCTGCTCATGCTCTGTCTCTCTGTCTCAAAAATAAATAAACATTAAAAAATAAAATAAATAAATAAATAAAATAAAATAGCATCTTGGGCCCCGGGTGGCTCGGTCAGTTCAGCATCTTCAGCTCAGGGCATGATCTCGCGGTTCGTGGGTTTGAGCCCCGTGTTGAGCTCTGTGCTGACCGCGCAGAGCCTGCTTCGGAACTTCTGTCTCCCCCTCTCTTTGCCCCTCCCCTGCTTGTGTATTCTCTCCCTCTCAATAATAAACATTTAAAAAATAGTAATAATAAGTAAAATAGCATCGTGGCCACTACCTCAAAGTCGAGGATCTACCCATCCGCTCCTCGGTCACCTCAATCACCTGTTGTTGCTGCCTGGAGTCCTCACCATCAGCTCCCCATGGAGGTGTACATCCACGGCCAGATTCTCCTGAAGGAATTTCTCCACCTCTGTGTCTGCTTTTGTTTATTTGTGCCTGATGATTCACACCACTGACGGTGAACACCAGCGTCCTGCTGGGGAAGGCAGTATGCTCTCTGGAAACTGCAGGGTTTGGGGATTCGTCGAGGTCTTCTGCTCCCACACCTTCTCCAGAAGCAAGGTGACCTGGTCAGAAGGGAGTGAGGGTCCTATTGGGGCACAAGCCAGAGTTTGGAGTCCTCTCCAACACTTCAACATTGAGGCTTGTTTATATTTTTACCTATTAAAATTACTCTTCTCTGAACCTTTCTGCCCATTCAAATCTGGAAATGTCTAACCATCCAGAAGCTTCTGGCTGGCTCAGTTGGTAGAGAATGCAACTCTTGGTCCTGGGGTTGTGAGTTTGAGCCCCATGTTTGGTGAGGAGATTACTTTAAAAAAAAAAAGAAAGAAAAGAAAAAGAAAAAAGAGGGGTGCCTAGGTGGCCCAGTCGGTTAAGAGTCCGACTCTTCATTTCAGCTCAGGTCGTGATTTCATGGTTTGGGAGTTCAAGCCCCAGGTCCAGTTCTGCGCTGACAGCGTGGAGCCTGCTTGGGATTCTCTCTCTCCTATTCTCTCTGCCCCTTCACCCACCCCTTCTCAAATTAAATAAATAAATAAGAAAGAAATGTCTATCCAAACTATTGCCAGGGATATATTCAGTTAATACTCTCACCAAACTGGCCATAATTCTTATGCTCAGGCTTTTTTTTTTAAATCTTTTTTTTAACATTTATTTATTTTTGAGACAGAGACACAGAGCGTGAGCAGGGGAGGGGCAGAGAGAGAGGGAGACCCAGACTCCGAAGCAGGCTCCAGGCTCTGAGCTGTCAGCACAGAGCCCGATGTCGGACTCGAACTCACAAAGTGTGAGATTATGAGCTGAGCCAAAGTCAGATGCTTAACTGACTGCGCCACCCAGGTGCCACTCAGCCTAACTTCTTACTTGCTGGCTATGGGATCGATCCTATTAACCTTCCACCTACTAATAACCCTCCACCTCTCATGGCGATTTAAGTGTCATTCCTGTAAGACACAGTCGCTGTGATAAAATGAGTTTTTATAATCTCCAATATTCTGCAATATATCTCAGATCTTCAGGGGTAAAATGGCTTGAATTGGTTTGGATCGAAACATATTTGACTCCCACTCATGAAGTGTGTGTGTAAGCAGTCGGTAGCAAACATAAATGACACACAACCACTATGCATAAGTAAGAAAATAAGCTAAGGGCAAATAAAGAATGTGAACATGGAGGGCTTCTTTGTGAATAATAATGATACAGTCCAGAGTGCCGTCTAGTATGCGTGTGTCAAATTTGTACTATGTCCGGAAGCATCCTCATTTTTGAAAAATTGTTCATGATGGGAACGTTTTAGTCATGCAGCTATAACATCATTAAAAATGGCTGAAAACTCCACATTCTTTTTTTTTTTTTTTGAAATGTCAAACATGCAATTCTTTAACTTTTTTTTAATGTTTTTATTTATTTTTGAAAGAGAGAGAAAGAGCATGGGCGGGGGAGGAGTAGAGAGAGAGGAGACACAGAATCAGAAGCAGGCTCCAGGCTCTGAGCTGTCAGCACAGAGCCCGATGCGGGGCTCGAACTCACAGACCGCCAGATCACGACCTGAGCCAAAGTCCGGACACTCAACCGACTGAACCATCCAGGCGCCCCTGAAAGCTCCACATTCTTAATCAACTGCTGATGTAACTGCTGTGGGTTGCTATGAAGTTAGCAAAACAGTGTGATGTCTGAGGCAGCAATGTCATCATAATTACATGAGTGAGTTAGTGAAGTTCTAGATGAGAATTCTGTCCCTCCTGGAGGTGATGGCTTTGGGCAAGGACACGTGTCCTATCTTACCTAAGATTGCCAACAGCTGCACTGATGAGAGTTCATATAAGCCTTCTAATGAGTGAGGACCTGGGCGTTCTGGATTGAGGGGGTTTATTTCTTGTTTTGTTTGCAATCCCGGAGCTACAAAGATAAGGACAAACATTTTGTGCTTCCTTTGGCATCTGTATGGAAAACTTTGCGTCCCAGAGGGAAACAATGTATATGCAGGGAGAAAGCAAGTCTGACCTGAGTGTAAAGCAGATACTAAATTCAGAAGCTGGTTTTTGTGGCCGGTCAGAGACTTCTTGTAGGCCTGGGGAAAATCATGGAGTCTGCTGCCTTTCCCCTTACTATCAGGTTAAATGAAAACTGAGAGCAAATTGTAAAGGACAGCGTGCAGTTGGAGGCTCAGATATCCAGCCCGGACTCTGGCTCTTGGTGATATTTGGAGATTTAGTGGGTTCATTATTAGATGAGCCTCAAACAGTGCCATAGCTCTGTGTCCTGAAGCTATGGGGATCCACACATCATGGGTGCAGCAATAATGCTAAAACAATTATATTTAACTCACAAGATATCCTTCCTTCCTGCCTTCCCAATCTCCAGGTGTGCTCCAAATGCTGGGGTTCATTTGCCACGATTTTCAGTAAAGCACGGGATGATCCCAAGACGTTATGTTATGCCTTGGAAAGAAAATATGAAATTCAGGAACATGAATCTGAAGGTATTTTCCTCTAAATGTTCATAATAAAAAATTCATAGTTATAGTATAATTTAATATATCTATGAATAGACATATCTATAACTATACAAAAGCTATTTTTTTAAGCTTATTTATTTATTTTGAGAGAGAGTGGGAGAGGGGCAGAGATGGAGAGAGAGAGAGAGAGAGAGAGAGAGAGAGAGAGAGAGAAAGAGAGAATCCCAAGCAGGCTCCACGCTGTCTGCACAGAGCCCAACAAGGGACTCGAACTCACAAACCCTGAGATCATGACCTGAGCCAAAATCAGGAGTCAGACACTTAACCAATGGAACCACCCAGGCACCCCTACAAAAGCTATTTTTAAATTCATATTTATTTTTTCCAGCTTTCTAGGGAATAATACAGAAATATACATTTTTTAAATGGACAGCATGATGACTTAATAAACATACACACTGTGGAATCATTACCAGGCTCAAGATAATTAACACATTCATCACCTCACATAGTTAACTCTTTTTTTCTCCTGGTGAACATAAGACCCACTCTCTGCAACTTTCAAGTATGCAATACTGTGTTATTAACAGTATTCAGTTACCATGCTGAAAAGAGATCCTCAGACCTTCTTATTCTTATAAGGGAAAGTTTGTGCCCTTTGACTTGTGTCTCCCCACTCCCCCTCCCTCCTGGCAACCACCATTCTCCTGTCTGACAAAAACTATTTGATGTACTTTCATGTGAACTTGCAAGGAAGAGTTAAATAGCATTATCTATTCAAATAACCCAAAGATGAACTTAAAATAGATATTCCCAAAGGTTTCAGAGCTCTCTGTCTACCTTTCTGTCCACATAATGCCAACTCACAGTTAAGAACGGACTTAATTAGGGGCGCCTGGGTGGCTCAGTCGGTTGAGCATCCGACTTCAGCTCAGGTCCTGATCTCACTGTGCAGACGGCTCAGAGCCTGGAGCCTGCTT